CGATATCAGTATAATACCTGGTTTGATTTTACATAACAATTAACGAATAAAGTCACTTTAAGTTGTAGAGGTATTCTTTTGTAATTTTTTTTTTCAGGGGGGGGGGGGGGGAGAATTTCTTCAAAAGACTCTGCATGTAGATAGAAATAATCTATGAATAAGGGTTACAATTTTTATCCGATTTAAAAAAACGTTCAAATATATCACCATTACAGTATATCACACCATAAGGATGATTGAATTCGAATTTCGTGGGAATTGGACTAAACTTGTGGTTCCTCTAGGGCCACAATTGTCATCCGATTAAAAAAAAACCATTCAAATATATCACTGTTACACAGTAATTTTGGTTGATTTAGAATTTCTTTAAAATTGGACCAAAATTGCCAGACAAGGTGGCCGCCCCTCATACGCAAATAGTGTAAACATTTGGTATATCAAGGTTGTGGACCCTCTAGAGGTTACAATTTTGATCCGATTCTGATGAAACTTGAAATGCATGTTTATAACCCAAAGATCTTGTTTCCTTTCGATATTCACGCATATCGGATCATAACTTACTGAATTATGGCCCCAGATTTTATGAAAAATCGTGTTTTTAGCTTGTTGTCCCTTTAGAGGTCACTATTTTTATCTGATTCAAAAAACTAACGTGTGAATCACCGTTACACACTAAGATCATGGTTCCTTTTGATAATCGCTCATATCCGAACGTAACTTCTTGGATTATGGCCCCTGATTGTTCGAAAAATCGCATTTTTAGCTTGCAGATTCTCTAGAGGTCACAATTTTTTTTCCAATTTTAAAAAACGTTTAAATATATCACCATTTCACCATAATGAAGGTTGAATTCGAATTTTGTATGCAAATTGTGTAAAAGTATATAATATGAAGGTTGTGGACCCTCTAGAGGTCACAATTTTTATCCGATTTTGATGAAACTTAAAACATATCTTTATATCCCAAAGACCTCAGCCCCTTTTGATATTTGCGCATTTCAGACCATATTGCCCCTGATTGTACAAAAAATAAAGTTTGTTTTTACATGTACATGTAGCTTGTTCTCTATCCATCTCTTGCAAAATGTGGGCGTATCCTGCCTGGCAGCCGCTGGTATACATTCAAAAATGGTAGTCTTCGACCATCAAAAAATGAAATTCAGCCATGTTTGTGGGGGGAATCAACGCTCTACACAGCATTTTGAACTTACTTTTGCAAACATAAGTAAATTTTCAAAACCACTAGCCAAACAAAATTTTCAGTTGCCAAGTCTGAAGATTAGAATAATTTGTCGTATGATATAGCTAAATTATATTGTGAACATAAATAACTCTTCAACTTCAATGATGATAGTCATGCTACTGACGCTACACCACCCAAACAAGCAAAATTACAAGCTTCGCCGTCTTCGTCTCGCAGTGAGTCCCAGTCGGAAAAAAATGTTTAAAAAATATTTTTCTTTCCACTTCTATGTCCATTATTACACAAACAAACTGCCAAACTTTTATGTGTCCTCTGGGTTATTTTGCAAATGGAACATGTGTGCAAATTCTTAATAAAAATGGTGTTGAAAAGTTAGTGCGTATCTTAAGAAGACCTACCTTCATATAAGATAATATTAGAACCTACCCTACATATTTCCTTTATATAATCTTAATAATGGGTTTTTATGAAACTTTTTCTTCTTTTGACATCTCAATTTGATTGTTGTAGGTATACTGGTTTACATTATAATTTATTCCAAGTCATTCTTTTATTTCATATAAATATATATGAGGTTATTTACCTTTGTCTAAATGTCAGTTTGTACCTACATTATTGAATATGTCATGGCATTATCTACCTTTCTAGAAAATGTATTAATAAATTACATTTTCACCTTGCTGTTGTGGCAGACTAAAGGGAGACAACTTCACTATAACTAATGTTGTGGAAAGTGCCACAATTACTTTTGACATTTATGTTGCCTGTAAAGGCTCAGACCTAGAAGCATAAAGTTACATTTTGATTATAGTCTTTTTACAAACAATATTTTTATTAAGTGATTGAAGAACAGGCATATCCCATAGCAATATCCCCTCTCCTATGAGTATGGAGATTGAGTCAGTTCAAACGGCGATTTCTCCAGGGAGTTTTCCTATCATGCCTGTTTAAATCTTTTTATCTTTCCACCTCAATATAATGATTATTGATTTACTTGCAGAAAATGTACATTTCACCGATTGTCAACACAAACTGACATGTAATACGGGGGAGGGAGAATTATCTACAAAAGCATGTATTTCAAATTTAATTCATAAAATGAGGGGGTTTAGCTGGAGATGTGTACATGTATCGTATGAACTAATATTTTTAGCTTGTGGTGCCCCTAGGGGTTACAATTTTTATCCGATTTTGAAAAACCGTTCAAATATATCACCATTACACCATAAGGATGATTGAATATGAATTTCGTGAAAATCGGACCAAAACTGCCAGATAAAGTGGCCGCTCTATCTATGTACGCAAATAGTGTGAACCATGCAATAACATTAACCAAATACTATATTTATAAGACAAAACTTGCATCCAATCAACCAACTAAAGAAGAGTACATCGCTTTTCTACATTCAAACGCAAAGATAGACTCACAAGTAGATATGGACAAATTAGAAAAGTGGAAATTCCTTGAACTGTTGAGATTGTTAATTTACAAACATCATGAACTGATTGTAATGTTAAATGTGTCGACATCTTTTTTTTGAACTTGTATGTTAATGTATATTACCGGTACTGTATTATATTACTAATTACGGTCAATAAGCTAGTTTAAAAATTGAAGTATATGTAATATCAAGGTTGTGGACCCTCTAGAGGTCACGATTTTAATGCGATTTTGAAGAAACTTAAAACCTGTGTTGTGTCCCAAAGATCTTGGTTCCTTTCGATATTCACGCATATGGCTCCTGATTTTAGCTTGTAGACCCTCTATAGGTCACAGTTTTTACCTATTGAGTTTAAATTTCATAAAAATCGGACTGAAACTGGCCACTCCTTGAATGCAAATGAAATAGTGTAAAAGTATGTAATACCAAGGTTGTGGACGTGCTAGAGGAGGCTTAAAATATATGTTTATATCCCAAAGATCTCGATTCCTTTCGATATTCACGCATAACAGATCGTAACTTCCGGGATTATATCGGACCATAACTTTCTGGAACATGTTCCCTGATTGTACGAAAAATCGCTTTTTTATTTTTTAGCTTGTGTTCTGTCCATCTCTTGCAAAATCCGGCGTATCTTTCATGGCAACTGCTTGTTAAGCTTGTGTGTTAATTATGATTTTAGAATTCCTTCCGGTTTCCTCCCACTGCTAAAGACCCCTATGCGCAATGAATTATTGAAATAAAATTAAACCAAATGTTAGTCCCGAAATGACCTAGTTTGTGTCGAGTGGACGTTAAACCCCATTTCTCTCTCTCTCTCTAGAATTCCTACTGCCCTAGTAAAAAGTGTTCACTCTGAACCTGCCTTTCATCTGCAATTCAGCTTTCTTATTCATTTTTATACATCCACATTCATGATGTGGACGTATTATTCTGTCACCCCTGCAGTCCTTCACGTTTAAGGGGAGCTTTCACTCCTGCTCCTCTCGACGCACGTTGGCTTTACTTCGAAGGAGTCATTAAAGACTCCTGCAAATTAGCTAAATCGCTCTCCTAAATATTGAGATTAATAAACTACTTTCAGTTTTTGGTTACTTTTAAACTGCATATATTCAAGGTATCAGGAGCTTGTTATGGCTCCCGCACAATTTTATAAACATGAAGGACTGTCCCTGTCTCTTTGTGTGCGTTTGTCTGTCGGTCGCCTACAGTGCGCAATTCTTAACGGATCATCTTGGAACTTGGCATATGTCCATATTGATTTTGGTGCATGTCCCGACCTCCAAGTGCAGAGCCACACCCAATTTTTCGGTTTTATCGTATACAGGCCGAAATTCGAAAGGATCATCTTGGAACTTGGCATATGTATTCCTTATAGCCTAAGGATGGCAACTATTAATTTTGGTGCATCATTCGACCCCCTTGGGCAGTGCCACTCCTACTTTTGTTAATATTTTGTCTGTAAAATAACAAAATTAAGACAGGCTTATTGCATATAGTGAAGCATCCTAGATTGATTTTAATTCCACATACATGTACATTGTATCTTTGTAAATACTAAACGGAATTGAACCATGTTTGGACTGATATTCCTTTTAAAGAGTTGTCTCTCGCAATATTGTACACGACAGGTGATTCCCATTGCTTAAAATGATGCATCAGGACTTTTAAGAACAAGCATAAAAATAGTGATCTGTTTCAGAAACATCGACCATTACATGATATTAATTGTGAGATACAATGTACATTAAAAATTCTGGGGATTTCAAAGACGTCTAAAATTGAGCTGAAAATTTCTGTGTACACAAAAATTTGTTTAGGATTGAAAATGAATAATATAACTAAATCTACATCTATTGTACTAAATATTCAAATATATATATATATACATTTAGATATATAGTGCTGAATGTTAGTAATATTATTGATAGAAAATATGTGAGTGATATAAGAATTAAAGCACTGGAACAGCTGTTTAATTAAATACTGGTATTATTTTGGTTGTGAAATTTTTTCTTTTTATTATGATTATGAATGTATGTTGTGTCCTGTACGGTCTCTGTGTCCTCATTTCCAGGAAAATAAAATTACAAACCAAATCATCTTTTAAAGACTAGTGTGCAATGCAGTTCATTTTTATTACACTATATAAGCTTTCAATTGAAATTAAAAGACAAAGTCATGCTTGAATACAAATTAATGAACAATAAGACGTAAATAATTAGTCTATTATAGGATATATCTGTCTGTTGTAATTAATAATATATTATCACATCTTCTGATACCAGTTGTAATGTATACAGTATGTAACACACCTTCTCTTTCATGTCACATGACTAGACAAGATGGCTGACATGTTACAGGTAGTAGTGTTTACCTGTGGGGCAGTTGGACAGACATGTCATCATTTTCACCTGATATCTACGTGTACATATTATTAAAACATGGATTATAGAGAAATAGATAATTATTCACCCTTGATGTGTAATTGTGATTTGGTGTGAAAACTGGATAAATAAGTAAATTTAAGTGTTACGGTGGCTATATGATATACACGTAGGAGTACAATCTAGGGTACATTACAAATTAAATGTGAATTGCATCAATATTTATCCTTAACAGTGAGTTTGCTTCATGTAAACATAGTGCTCGTGGTTAGAATTATGCCCTATTTCTAACTCTTACGAGTAAAGTTTTATTTAACTTGATAAAGATTGTTTTAAAATGGATATTGCTCAATTATTATTGTATGGAGTTTCACCAGTAATTCTGCCACAGGATATATCACAGCGACAGCTTGTGTGGGTTAATGTGTAATTTTAAGTTAAAGTTTTTCTCTGTTTTCCCTCAAGTAAATGCTGAATTAATTTTAAAATCAATTTTTATTACCATGCTGTAGAAAGGTAAGGTGGTCTATACTTATGAAAGAGCAAATTGAATTTATTTTCTAATGTTTACCTTTAAGTTTGAAGCTGTCACAATTTTATGATTGAAATTAATGTTTTTTGATTGATTGCAGTTTTAGATTTGAATATTTAAAAGTTGTGCATTTAGATGAGTAGATATTTGATTGGATGATTAATTAATATTTTACTAGTTTGATGTTATACTTTTCACTGACTAAAGCGAAAAGTAAAAAGGTTCTAAAAATAGGATTTGTGTGACGTATTGATATAAAAAAAATATAATTTGAACTTGACTAAAATAACTTAACTTTCATTTGTGTGTTGGGTGGATATGAATTGATAATATCTAAATTAAAATCTGGAATTAAGTGGGATTAAATATACCATCAAAATCCATCAATGCTAGATACATTTACATGTAATTCCCCAGCTTTGATTCATTCGAATTTAAAAATGGCTCATCCATTATGTTTCACCAAACATAAAGATGGCTGTGGGCTCATTGACAGTTTCATGTGGACGTACATGTATATTGTCGTCACCCCTGTCCGTCCGTGTGTCTGTCCATCCATTCACATTTGTTTGTGAACAATATAGATCTATCTCCAAAAGATCTCGGTTCCTCTTGATATTGGCATGTACCGGACCAACTAATCCTGGACGCTCTAGAGGTCACAATTTTCATCTGATTTTGATGAAACTTGAAATACATGTTTATAACTCAAACATCGTGCTTCCTTTCGATATTCGTACATATTGGATCGTAACTCTCTGAATTATGGCCCTTGATTGTACGAAAAATTGCAATTTTAGCGTGTGGTCCCTCTAGAGGTCACAGTTTTTATCTATTTTAAAAAACGTTTAAATTCATCACCATTACAGTACCCTAATGACGAATCAGTTCCAATTTCATGAAAATCGGATCAAAACTGCCAGACAAAATGGCAGCTCCTTGTACGCAAATAGTATAAAAGTATGTCATACCAAGATTGTGGACCCTCTTAGTCTTATTCTTAAAGTCACTTGTTATCAGATTTTGATGAAACTTGAAATATATGTTTATGTCCCAAAGATCTTGGTTCCTTTCGCTATTTGCGCATATCAGATCATAACTTCCCTGATTATGGCCCCTGATTTTTTTTATCCCATTTTAAAAACCGTTTAAATATATCACCATTCCACCATAATGAAGGTTGAATTCGAATTTCGGGGAAACGAAACTGCTCGACAAAATGGCCGCTCTTTGTACGCAAATTGTATATATGTATGTAATACGAAGGTTGTGGACCCTCTAAAATATATGGTTATGTCCGAAAGATCTCAGTCCCTTTCCATATTTGCACACTTCAGACCATAACTTTCTGGAATATGGCAAACATTGGTTGTTAATCATATCTTACGGAACAGAAATGAACCAATTTTGGACTCAATGTATATTAGAGATTCAACCTTTACAACATTGTAGTTTGCAAGTGATTTCTATATTGTGCAAATCACTCCCAGAGATTTTATCATGTCCTGTCAAGTCTGAAGTAAATTTATTGCACTTTTAAAAGTGATTTGATTTGAAATGTTTTGTGTTCAGTACAATAAATTCAGTTATATTTTATCATAATGTGAGATTATCATATCAATGTAGTTTGACCAGAGTGTGTAACATGAAACATTTATTATATTTTCATATTTCAAGTAGTATGATTATCAGTTTTATATGCAACAAACTAAAGCAATAACCTAGAATGTTTTAAAAGAATTTATACCATGCTTGTGTTGTTTAGAATTTAACAACAGTTTAAAATCGTAAAATTTCGATTAGCAACTCATTATTAGCCTAGCAACCAAGTTCATTATTATTGATCGCAGTAAATAGAAATAAGATTAAGAAGATAAAATGATTAACAAGTCACATAATTTGTATTATTTTCAGTTTTCAGGCCTTCAGAGGAAATAAGATAAATACCCACATGATAATTTAGAGTAATATGTCTTTGTTTACTTAAGACACTAAATTAAATATTTTAAACTAAACATTGAAATTGTACAAATAAACTATCTTTCTGTCCCTTTTGTTTTGTCCTAGCCATATTTAGACTTCCTTCGTTTACATTCAACAGAAATAAGATTGTTCCTTTAAATAGACTGTTGGTTGTACACAAAGGTTGTTGTGAACAAGGTTAAAAAATTTAAAAACTATATTTTTGTTCTGTAACAACTACATTTATTAATGTTACACCTTCACAAAAGATAACAAAATGTCTGATAAAATCTGATACATCAGATTCATCTGAAAACCTTATAACCACATTTCAGATATAATCAGTAATACATGTACACGAGTCCCCAAGCATGCTGTGTAAATGTGTTGATAACCATATGGATATATTTGCCAAATTTAGAGTACTATAAAATATTTAGAAATAGGCTACATGGACATCGTCACATTCCTGCTTTGCTTAGCCCTGCTTTTATTAACGATGTCCTAAGAAATCTGTTGCCTTTTTATGTGCGTATATTACCTCAATCCTCAAAGGTATTCTAATACATGTGACCATGCTACACACAAACAAAACCCATTAGACAAACCTGCGCTAAGATACACATGTGTATTCCTAAATCTAGATTGCTTTCTAGCAAGTCAGAGACGATTAATGTGTCAAAAGTTCTGTATCCCTTTCGTAATGTTTTGAAACATAACCTACAAATTTATTGATAAGGAAAATGAAATTTTTCAAATCTATTTTGTACAAGGTATAGCTGGTAATTGAAATTGTTCATTAAAAACAAAAGATATTTGTTAAGCATTTCATTCTGTTTTTGGCTTTTCCCTATTAAGGGTAACTCATTTTGTCGCGTTGAAAGAAGACAAGTCGTACGTAACAGTTTACCTGTAAATCTGTCACTGAGTCCAATATTTACTTTTTAACACAGATTGAGAGAAGATTATTAGTGGAATTACTACAGGTTTTTGAAGAGAACACATTGGGTCATTTAGATAGAACATAACATATTGAAGCCAAGTTCAAGTTAGTTGATTAGAACGTTGCTAGTTTAAAGGACAATTCTTACTTTTGATATGGGTATTATTTTTGTTTTCCACAGTAATTTATTAAGATTTATGAAGACCAAACATGAAATACCTGAAATATTTAAGATGTTATGTCTAGATGCCTGACTGTTGAAGGGATATAGTACTGAAATGTATGTATGAAGTGCTAACAAGACTTGACCACACTTTATCTGATGTAAAGTCAAACTCATTTGCATGGGCATGAGTATGGATTAACTGATTCACACTACAGTGGATATAGTGGGACAGTTCAAAGTTTGGATAGAGTACCATTCTATTTTTGTTTTAGGAATTTCTTTTATACAGCAAATTGTATCAGGTATTCGCGATTAAATTTTTAAAAAAAATCTTTATTTTATATGTCTATCAACAATGTTTTACAGTATCAGGGTTTATGGTATTGTTAGTAAAAAGTTATTTGATTAAACTTGTTATTGGAGAAGATCCAGTTATGTGTTAAAATAGGGGAGTTTTCTTTCTTCTATTTTAAGCCTTTTACAAGATTTGTTAGGATTAATAAGTGTAGAGAAACAAGAATAAAGAAATGTGTGACATTGTTTAGAAGAACTATATAATAAGTTTCTTTTCTTAGTAGGATGTGAAAAAATGACTAAGGTCAGATACATATTGTATATTTTATAGGATAATTATAACATCATGTGACTGATGTAAATATGTTGAATTTTCATATGGGAATATAGACATGTTTACAACTACCACCAATACTATTGAATTTGAAAGTTTCAACCAAATGAAATATTGCAGGGTTCATGAGATTGCCTATCAACTATTGAAAGAATAAATTGTAAGATAAAAATGATAAGCAAAGGGCTACACAGTATACAGTTTATTAATGCCATATAGGAAAAGGTGGAATTATATGAATGATAAATAGTATTTGTTTATTGAATGCAATAGTGAGTAAACACCATAATATGATCAACTCTTACCAGAAATAACATCACTATATTGTAAGCCATGTTTACTCCAATATCTGATACTGTGTGTTGATTTTGAGGGATTATCATGTCTTAAGCTTGTTGAAAGGGATTATTAGGATTACTTGAATAAGATGACCTACTTTCCATGTTTCCGTCTAAGATTGTGGGATAACATCCGGACATCGAGGCTCTTTTATTATTTACTTTTCTTAATGTTTCAGTTTTTAGAGAAGTAATTGGAAACAAGATTGATTGCTCAGTTAATTCTGATATTGTTTCTTCAGGAATTAGTTGAATTATAATAACAAACATGTTATGTAATAATTAGTGTCTGACAATGTCTGTCACAGGTGCCTTATGTCTGGGTGTGATAGTTTTGTTGATCTAAACTTTTTTCACTGAGTGTTATTTTTAAAAGTTGGTATGTCTACTTTATCAAAGTTTTTCTTACAGGGCACTGCATTAATGCAAAACTATGTTGTTATCACTGAAGGTCAATAAAAGCGCAGTTGTCATAAGATCAAAAATACATAATGTCCAGAAAAAAAGGTGGTAACCTAGGAAATATATATTCTAGTTGATGTCAAGGTGAAGAAAATAGGTTGTTTGAATTATCTGTTTAATTGATAAATGTTCTCTACTATCGGTAGTAGGTACAAGGTTTTACAAATTATTGCTTTAACCGATTTGTGGAAATTGGTCCTTAGAAACTGGTAAAAGATTTGTTTGATGAGATATTTTGAAAGAAATGCTACATTGTTATATTGGAAAATCATCTTCCCATTTACGTGTGTAGGTCAAATTTACCATTGCAAAAATTCATTTATTTGATCATACATGTATCACTTCGAGTTCAGAATAAACCATTGTCAAATCTGTTAATTGTATCTCCAATCTTCGCTAATGACTTACTGTTAAATAATTAGCACATGCATTCTTTGTTTGATAATTACATGGCCATATCCTGTATTAAAAATAAAGATGCATAA